ATAAAATTCGTTACACAAAGTTGATCTACAATCTATTTTATATGAAATTGGAAATTTGTACACCCTACCCTTAATGAAGATATGCATGAATCATTGTGGCAGCTTACGCTGAGATTTTGATCTATTTTATTATGAAATTATAAAATTTTTTGAGACTTTTTGTGGTCTTTTTCTCATATTTAGGTTAGAATCTAGGGGTTAGCCTTCATTGTTTTTGTTTTTTTTAGGTGCCGCACAAAAAATGCACGGCCGAACCACAGTTTTATACAATAGTCGGATTTATTAGGCTATAAAATCAAAAATGACAAAAAAGTAGCAAGGACAAATAACAAACTATTCGCCCAAAACACGATTTCGTCAAGTCCTCTTATTACAGACCAGCTATACAAAGAGTTCAAAAATAAAGGACTCAATATACTTCCCACGCTTTCGATAACACTCAAAGCACCTAATATTTGTCCTGCTTGTGTAGGCAAGACAAACGTAGTAAATAAAGCTCTGACTGCTGGTGTTGCTATCGTGGATAAACTGTTTACCACACAAGCAAAGTAAAACATATTTGGTACTATTGCAATGGCATATAACGTGAATCCGGCAACTTCCATAATTAATCCAGCTCTCATCATCGTAAGATCTAGAGTTCGTGAATATGAAGTCAGATATTTTCCTTGTAAAATACGAAACAAAGGTAAGAGGACTATTAGAGCTATAAATCGGGTGAATGCTTGGAGAGTGAAAAAAAATCCGTTGTCTAAAGTTGACCAGCCAAACTTTTGTGTTGTATATAGTGCGATTATATCATTTTGGCCTATTTAAACAATAAAACTAATGTTATTAATTAATAATACATATTTAACTTTATTTAAAAATAAATCTAAACCATTACCAGCTTGTGACAATTTATATATAAAATAAATTATCGAAAGAATATACAGCGCATTCCTTTTCCATATATTATTTCTAATGCTTCCAGAATATATAGGTGTTTGATTAAGAATAATCAAAGCCGAAAATATATATTTTGGAGATGGTATAGAAGTTGAAGATTCGTTTTGACGACGTAGTTCTGGCGAAAGTGATTCTGGAAGTATAAATGATGCAAAAATAAAAAA